CCCCCCTCCTCCACCCCAACCACCCGCCCCACCTACCCCACTTTCTCGCGCAATAATTGTTAGAGTGGTCCGGTATTCTTCAATCTTCCCCATATAGGCTATCTCTATACTAGAATCTAGATCTAGATTCTAGATCTAGATCTCTATAGTAACTTAGATAGCCTTGCTTTTTACAACAATAAAAATGAAGGAAGTTCCGAGTCGAGTAGGAAGCTTGAATATGAATGATGCCTTCCACTTCCTTTTACCTTTAAACGTCTAAGAACATGAACAAGCTACATTATAAACACATGTTTTGCTAGGTACATATAATGATAAACTTCTTTAGAATGCATCATAGTAGATTCGTGAAGATCACGAGTGCAGGGGAGCGGCTGGGGTACCTGTTCATGTGAGCACTGATGATACATTGACTCATGACAACAAATTTCGTTCAACAGGGCACAGGGGTCCTTAGACACAGACCGCCCTACCATCCAACACCAATTTTCTCAGTTCTATAAATATAACAACACAAATGGTATTCTACTTACCCGTATACAATGGACAAGATGTGAATCATAAAATTTACACAGAAACCGATGAACAGAATAATACACAGCACTAGTAAAACATAATCAACCGGTTCCATCCTCTCATTACGCCTCCTCTCGCTGTGCACTCTACACTCGCTCATCCACCATCCCACAATTCCACAACTATTTCCGTGTTGTAGATCTAGCAAAGCCTTCAACCTTGAATGCGGGGCGAGACAACTCTGACGTAGTTAGTGAGTCACAGCCAGACTTCCATTTGACCCAGTTTCCTGACCTGGAATGCGCGAAATTTTGCCAAGGGCCCTCTTGTCTTGGACAGCCCAATAAAACAGTAGCCTAGCCTACATGCTCTGGATGGTCCAAAAAAAAACCCCAACAGTTTTCTGAATTCGTTTGGTTGACCGGTCGTGACAAAGAGAAGGGGAATGGGTGGTTTAGCTTAACCTCGGTTTGCACAATGTTGGGGATTTTTACTGACTCTTGTTGCTTCTTTTTTTTTCAATTTAAATTTAAATAGCCTACTGAATGAAAACCTTTAGATTTCACCATCAACAACGCACAAATCTCTTCTAGACATCTAGGCTGAACTGTCACCGTCAGATAGATCTGTAATCGTTTAAAAAGACAATATTTGCAAGTTAAAATTGCCTGGGGGGGGGGATACGAAATAAGGCGGTTGGACTACATGAATTTTAGGCCTAGATAACATCCATCTATACGTACTGTACGTTAGAATAAGTTGGGTTAGTACAAATCTATGAGGATGAGGGGATTTAGTAAGAATTTAAGAACAACACCCCCCCCCAAAAAAAAAAGAAGTCACAAACAATAAACAACGATTTTTTTTAAATATATTAACGTGGGGGCATCCATAGCCTATGCTCAATAATATTTTAAATACAATATTAGAAGGCTACTACCGCTAAGTGTTCCACGGACAGATGGGCTGCGTGAGTCAAAAGGGTTAATATTTGTGCCTGGTATAGGCCTATCTTTGATTGTGTGTGTTTGTGTAAATCAAAAGGGTTAATATTTGTACCTGATAGGCCTATCTATTATTGTGTGTGTTTGTGCGAGTCAAAATTGGGTTTACATTTGTATAGGCCTAGGCCTATTTATTATTGTTAAGTCTTTTTGTGAGGGCATCAATAAGTGGTTGATAGTCTTTGTAAACATGTGCTTCACAGCAAACTGCTTTGGGAGCGG